AATAAGTCTTTACAAAAAGACAGTGATTGCAATTCCTAAATGTGTATAGATTGGGATACAACATTATGACACACATTTTTGTCTGCATGCATAACAAAATGTTCATTTTGTGAGACTCTAGATAATGCACTGATTCCCAGAAATCCAAGTATGGGTTTCTTTTTCTCCATATTATTGTATTAATTAATTCAATTTACATCTTGGTCATAGTCACCTACATTTTCTTCCCCCAGTCCCACTCTCCCTCCTATATCCCTCTCCCCTATTCATCAGAAATCTCAGCTCATCTATTCACATGAGGACTGAATTCCTCTTCCTTCCTTATGGCCTGGTATGGAAGTCCCATTATGGGGGAAGTGATCAAAAAGCAGGTAACACAGGCCATGTCACAGATATCCCAGCTCCCCTAACTACTGGGCTGACATGAATTCTAAGATGCTAACGAGAGTTATCTTCTTTCATAAGAAATATAGACTTTATTTATGTAATATGCATTATAGTCATGTGCAGAACACAGCATTTGAATTATACCCTCAGGAAAAAAAATATTGTACTGACTAAGATTTTCTATCTCCCCATTCCTGTCTCATTTGAAGGTCCTACAATGTGCTGAATGAAACTGAAAACCTACTGGTTTTCTAACGGTCATTACCTTCAGATTACATATAACAATACATTAAAAGCTCTGATGATTTCATTTCCAAAGTATATTGCATTTTCTTATCTCACATTCAATACTATTGTCATTCAAAGCCAAATTATTGAAAAGCTGAAATAACTTTCTTATTAATATTCCTGCTCTTTCTAGGACTGCCTTTCCCATTATTCTGTTTTCCACGTGGCAGGTAAAATGAGATTGTACATCTGTATCAGATTCATTGTTCTTATTATACTAACTACTTTCGATTGACAATAGGATAAAACACGAAGACCCTTTCTTCTGTTACTACATTTCCTGTCCAATTTAAACACATCCTTTTCCTTACATATATAACAAAAATTTTCCAGTTAGAGATTGACATTTATATCATTGCTTGACACAATTATTATTTCCATTGTTCCTGGAGATTTTAGGCAAAAACCTGGGCTTCAGGTGGCTCTAATGGTTAGCCACAGTCTCCACTCCACCTAATAAAGAAGTATTGATGAAAACCAGAAAACATCTCTATTCAACGTGACCATAGTGGAGAAGGAGATGGATGAAGTGATACTCATGCCTGTCTTTAGGGTATTACCACAATGTTTAATTTTAAAAAGAGGGAAATTTGTAAGAATAATCAAGCAGGGTTGGTTAAAGTGTGGTCCCACTCATCATTGACTATGCATTGTCTTTCTTTAAGTTCTGAAACTTTGGTGTGCCCCTGAAAAATAATCAGATAAATCCTTCAGTTCCTCATTTGTTAATAGCTGAACAATCTCACTCTCATAGATACTGTCTTCTTCTGAGATGAAAGCTCTGTCTTGTGAGGTTTTTCTATTCTTGAAGTTCAAGTTGACTACAAGATTAAGGGCAATAACTATGTTTGTGAATTTTTCATAAGTAAACAAGGCAGAGCTGGAGAGATGGTTTAGCAATGAAGAGTACTTGCCACTCTTAGAAATGACTACCATTTCATTTCCAACACTCAAAGCAGGTCATAACTGCCTTTAACTCAGATCCAGGGAATCTGATGTCTTCTTCTGGTATCTGTGAGAACCTCCATTCACATATAAGTAAATTGCTTACAATAAACATAAAAAAACAATAAATATCTAAAAATAAAAAGTTAAGAATCAGCAGAAATACAGACACAAACTAAAGATAGAGCTATAGAATTTCATCCTGGTTTTAGTTCTCTGTGGACCTGAGTGAGGAGTGCATGCATGCCTTAGAAAAAGCTTCTAAGTACCTATTTTAATTTCAATCTCAAATATAATTTTAACTGGGATATTTAATTATCACCAACTCCTAAAGCCATCCTCAAGGCAAACATAATCACAGTGTTCTATCCTGATCTAAATAAAATGGTAATCTGAGGAAAAAAAATTGCTTAGAAAGAAAATCCTCATATTTTCCTCCTGTTCACTATTGCTCATATATTATCAGTAAAGAAAATGTGGCAGAAGTACATGTAGGATGAAACTGAAAGGCATTGTATCTTGTTCTTAATGATAATTTCTGGTGCTTCTTTAGCTTATGAAAGAGAGAAAGGTCATGAATGGTAGGTGGGTCCTAACATCAATTTTGGACATATATTCAGATATTAATTAAACAAAATGTAAAAAGATCTTTTAAATTTTATAAAATAAGGGAATATAAGTTGTGTTTTCTTTCAAGAAGTCCTATTGGCTGTTTTACTTTCCTGTACAAAATCTTTGGTTGTGATCCCATAGGTATGTACATACCACAGAGCAGATGAGAGTCATTTGAGGCTGGAATTGTTAGAGGCATGTGTTGCCAGCTATTAAAAAACTTTAGGCGAAGTCTTGCCAAATATACACTTTTAATATCATTGCCTTCATATGTCCTTCAGGATCAGCTGGCCACCCAATGTTCAAAGCATCAGCGTGAGTGGTATGAGAGAGTAAAATCCTGGATGCAGCTTTTTACCATTATTTATTTCATCCATCTTGAGGCTAAGCAATACTCACAAAGCCAATAGCTCTAGCATGTAGTTATTGTGCATATTTCTATGAGAATAATTAATCAAGTTTATTTCTTATATATACATCAGTTTTTATTAATAAGTGATAATATATGCAAATACTGCAAAGTATAAAATGATCTACAAAGTAGGGCAGGAGATTTCTGTGGGTTCCATAGCCACTAAGATAGATGCATTAACTGAATATGTTTCAGATAAGTTTCCCAGGGACAGGTGTGCATATACAGTAAATAAACCATGCTCATTACCTTTTAAGTAAAAATTCTAATATACTTAGAACAGTGCTACCATTGATCTATTGTAATTTTGATGGGATAGAAGTACTGCATGATGTCTGTAATAGATTGTGAATGCATATTAACTTCACTTTTTTCAATTAGTACACATTTTAGATGTTTTTCTTTCTAACAAAGTGGGAAAAATATCAAAACAGTCTATCAGAAGTTCTAGAAGTGTGAAGTACTCTAATACCTTTCTTCTGATAAATAATATTTCTTCTTAAGTTTATAAGCTAAGGTATTTAATACATCTTTTAATTGCATTGAATTTTTAATTATTTTTGTATATGACACTGAACTTTTCTGATTGTATCAAAAAGTTTATTTAATTTTTCTAAAAGGCTAATATATTAATTTTACCTATGTTTTATACCTGTTTTTCTATTTCCTTTTATCTGTTTGTTTATTTTTACGTGTGTGTGTGTGTGCATGTGTGTTAAGATGAGAACGTAAGCACAAGGACTACAGAGGCCTTGGATATAAAGTTTAAAGGTGATTTAACTGTCCAGTGTGGGTGTTTGGTAAAAACTCAAATCCCTTTCAAAAGTTTTACATATTCTTAACTGATCAGCCATGATTCCAACTCCTTTATTTCACTTACTTTTAAGTCTGTAATTTTTTTTTATTATTTCAAGACATGATTATAGTCATCTATATGGGTCTTGATGTGGGTTTCATAACTGAGAATTGAGAACATTTTTAACATATCTATTTCTTACGCTCTGCTGAATTTTCATATCACTGCTTCAAACAACTCTTAGACATATGACATCTCTTGTGTTCATTCAGATATTATTTATTGGTAATAAACAATAGAATTGATTATAAAATTCTTTCCTTTTTATTTTCTTTTATTCTGTTTTGTTTTCAAGGTCTGCTCATATACCTTCATCCGTACTTGTGGGCAATGGCTCCATCACTGAGTGACATCTTTCCCTTTCATAGTGTCTTCAACCAAGCTCTCTCAATGAGCTGTGGGGTCACCTAGAAATGATGATCTGCTTCTCCTGCAAATGTAGGAACACAAATGTGTGTGTTACACCATGACTGGAATTGGCTTCATGTTGTTCTTCTAATTTGTTTTTATTTTCTAGGTTTTTTTTTTTTTTTGGTTTGTATTCTGTAATATCCTAATTGTTTTATTTTGTTTCTTCTAGCATTTTTCTGCAAATTCTATGCCAAATAATAAGAGTTTTAAACATCACTAAACAAACAAATGTAGCAGTCACATTGGAGCTCCATTAAGGGATGCTACTTCCTTCCATTTAAAAGAACCCAACCTTCCTCTGGGGGAAAATGTGCCATTATCTACTCCCTTAAAAGTTAATACAGTTAAGTGAACCCATCATTTGGCTAAGGGACCATCCATCAGAAAAGCTGATTCACTCTAAGCAAATAATAAAGAGATGGGAGAAATAACTATCTGTTTAATGAAATAATGTAATTTTCCTTCCCACAATACCAGGCCCAACCTGGCCTCAGCAATGTTAGTGTGTTAATTCTGTCTGTTTTTCTGAGCCCTCAGACAGAAAAATGCAACTTTTTGCTGCTTTTCCCCTCCAGAAGTCTGCCAAAGCCCAGTATGTTTCCCTAGACACATCGGCTTTCTCACTAGTTTTCTAAGTTACTCTTGCTCTTTCTGCCGTGCCACTGATTACAAAGGGCGAGTATTCCTCTCTTTCTTTGCTCCATCTTCCTCCAGTGGGTAATTGCCAAACCATGTGGCTTGATACTTCTGGTGCTACTCCCCCTTTTGGACACTAACAAAATTGCCTTTAAGCTTTCTCCTGAGTCTGCACTTATATTATTTCATTAACTAGATTAAGAACATTAAGAAGAGAACTCAGTCTCTTCATTAGTTTGTGACTCTCTAGATAGGATTCTCCCAATTCTTCAGTAACAGAGACATATTATAAATACACCAAGGTTCATGAATATAATATAAAAATATGAAATCCCCAGTGGAAGTATTAGTAGAAGTAGGATAGAAAGGTAGGGAGAATGGGAAGAGAGCAGCTTCGATAACCCTGGACTGTGTTGGAAGTTACTTAGCAACTGAGTTAACAATTTGACTAAACCTGGCCCTAGAAGCATTGCAGGTGTGACTGACATGTCTCTTCTGAGGCAATAGATAGCAGAAAGAAGCTTTGTCTAAGCTTAGTGTTCTGACCTATGAATACCTGAATGTTTAGTCGCTCAACATTCCCTGAAAAAAACAAGACTGAGGTGGCCACGAGCCTGGTACCGCACAGGCCCCGATGGTTTCCAGGGCCAGGAGCGGGCCAGGAGCGGGCCAGGAGCGGGCCAGGAGCGGGCCAGGAGC